TATATATATTTATTTATTTATTAGGGTGGTCGTTATTTTAATAATTTTTGAAATTTAATCGAGACACCCCTAAAATGATTCAATATCTCAAAAAAATAATACCATATTTTCTTCAGATTTTTTAAACAATTTTAATCAATATATCACCGAAGCACAGATAGGCGGAAAAACATCTTTGTGGATAAAATTTGGCCTATGCTCTAATTCTTAACCAATTTTAAAGTTTTCCTTAATTTGTTCGAAATTGAATAAGCTAAAAGCTTATTTTGCATAAATTTTGATTATGGATTATATCCAAAGTAAAAATTATCGATCTAATAAAGTGAGCAGAAAAAAATCAAAATTATATGATGATGATAATAAATATTGGATCTGTAATTTTCCCTTTAAACGTAATCAAAATTTACGTATAATGAGTTTATAGTTAACTTAATTTCAAGTAAATTTTTAAAAAATACTTTAAAATTAGTTAAGAATTAGAGCGTCGACTGAATTTTTCCACGTATTATGCAGAGCATATTTTTAAAAAAATTATTCAAAAAATCAAAAAAAAATATGGTGTAATTTTTTTGAATCACTTTAGAGGATGTCCTGATTAAATTTTTTAAATTATTTAAATAACAACCACCCTAATATATATACATTTATACATATTAAAAACGTATTCAACACATTAAGATTCGAATAACAATAAATGTTCAAAAGATTTTCAATCTAAGAATTAATTATCATTCTAAGAAATGTTTTCCATAAGACAAAAAGCATAATATAGCCTACTAATTAAAATATAAAGAGAAAAAAGAGATTAAACATGTATATATTTTATAATACGTTGAATATTTTGAAAAATTAACTGGCGCACGCGGTTTCCGACATACAGTAAGTCTGTTTCCTATAGCTGAACTAGAATACTTTTGGAACTTAAAATAAGATAGATATACGTTTGATATTTAACGAAAACGAGAAAGAGAGTTTTGGTACAGTTCGATGCAGGAATAAAAACAGTTCTAGTGTTTATGAGCACGTATACATACACACAGCATGTCGCTGCATACCTATACGCCGTACTATTACGTGTTATCATTGTTATTCGTACGATGAGGTTTGAATTGATAGGATATATCAACATATTACTCTTTGATTACAACTAATACCTATTAGAAAATTGTTCTGTACAATTATCACAATTAATTATTCGTTCGAATGATGGATTCACATGAGATTAAGACTCGCAAATGTAACAATGATTATTTATTGAATTCAAATAGCTATTTTTCGTGATTCATTCATTTATATTTGAAGACTCTATTTTGAGAAAATTTACTCGATAATAGTAGGTATGTACATTAAGGGGTTATTTCACCTTGGAAGCTGCAAAATCATACCTTATTTTGAGAATTGATTATTAAAAATCTATATATAATACAAAAAATCTTTTTATATCTATTTGTTATCTTTTATCTTAGTGTACAAAATGTGTAATAATTATATTCCTGGTAAACAAAATGATGGTGTTGCAGCACGTCTTTCACCTACGTGTGATGAAGATATTCACGGTGGACAGCAGAATGAGTCCAAAGTATGTTGTATCTATTTTTAATTTACATTAAATTTACTAAAAAAATACCTATTCGATTTTAAAAAATGTAGAAATGGTGCATGCGTGAAAAACAAGTTCAATTTTTAATATAAAAAATTTAATATAAAAAATTTTTAATATAAAAATTCAATATAAAAATATGAATTACAAAAAAATATATAAGTAAATATATCGTAAAAATCACAGATATTTCTTTAGATAATTCAATTGACAATAACTGAGCCAAATTTCAAAGCATTTGGATTAATTTTATG